CATGTCCATATATCGTACGATAAGTAGGTAACGTAAAAAGATCGCGGTCATGTCCATATATCGTGCGATAAGTAGGTAACGTAAAAAAGATCGAGGTCATGTCCATATATCGTACGACAAGTAGGTAACGTAAAAAAGATCGCGGTCATGTCCATATATTGTGCGATAAGTAGGTAACGTAAAAAAGATCGCGGTCATGTCCATATATCGTACGATAAGTAGGTAACGTAAAAAAGATCGCGGTCATGTCCATATATCGTGTGATAAGTAGGTAACGTAAAAAAGATCGAGGTCATGTCCATATATCGTACGACAAGTAGGTAACGTAAAAAAGATCGCGGTCATGTCCATATATCGTGCGATAAGTAGGTAACGTAAAAAAGATCGCGGYCATGTCCATATATCGTACGATAAGTAGGTAACGTAAAAAAGATCGAGGTCATGTCCATATATCGTACGATAAGTAGGTAACGTAAAAAAGATCGCGGCCATGTCCATATATCGTACGATAATTAGGTAACGTAAAAAAGATCGAGGTCATGTCCATATATCGTATGATAAGTCAATACAGTAATTATTGTGACAGGCCAAGAAATAATCACCGTGTTGGTGTTGGTTGTGAAACTCGCATAATATTCTACAATGGTTCATTCAGACTAAATATACTCAGTAAATATTAAGCACACTAATAATATGAATATACTTTCAGTACACTAATTTGAGTGTCTTTATTCATTATGCTTCTTTTCTCCGACAGATGGCACACATTTCCTCCCTTGTCAAACTATCCAATGTACGGTTTTCGCTCATCTTCATCAATGTTTCCTTTGTAGACTTATTATTATATTATATATATGTTATTATAGTTCAACAGTTGGCTGTTGTAAGTGCTCCTTTGGGTTTTTTGACAATAAAAAATACCCACAGTGGGATTGCGTGTTTTCTTTGCAGGGAGACGTGGAGAGGAAACTATCACAGATGATCCTGGACGAGAAGTTTCACGGTATGTGTCTGCAGCTCTTCCATGTATGCGCCACACGCTCGGTAGCTAAATATGAGTTCATATTTCCTCGTCGGGTTTTTGCGGTTGTTTCCTGCATCTTTATGTTGCAGCTACTGCGTGTTGGATCACAATGCTTGGTTTTTTTTTTTGACCTGCTCAAATCAACTGAACTAAATCAGTGAGTGCGCCTGTAATCGACGGCCAGTGTTTTTAGTCATTCTCCTTCTGTTACCCCCCCCCCCCCACCCACCACCACCACCACCACCCTCACCTGACAAGGTATTTTGGACCAAGGCGAAGGTGTGCTGATCGTGTTCGACGAGCCAGCGGTGGACAAGACGTACGAGGCGGCCCTGGAGACCATCCAGAACATGAGCAAAGTGGTGGACTCGCTCTACAACAAAGCCAAGAAGCTAACATAAGGTCAGCGCCAGTAGCACTGATGACGTGGGGGGGGGGGGTGCGTGATGTGCAACGTAATGGATTACATAGTGAGGTGATTTATTTTTCAGTAAGATGAGTTATTTGCGGTTTCTCTTTAATTTAATCATTAGAACAAGATATACTAACATTTGGGTGTATTTGCCAAAACTATCAAAATATTTAGTTTCTTGTTAAAAAAAAAAAATGAATTCAATGGATACGGCTGGTGATGTTTCTTCTTATTGTCAACAATTTCCATGAAAATTACCAAAACAATTCGTTCTCACTTAAACCACATCTGTGTGAACTGGTTTTATTAACAATACTAGTAAAACCAGCAAAAATTAAACTTCAATGGAATAAAATGAAATCCAAGTGGAATTCAGCACTTCACTCTTCTTTTTAAAGTAAAAGAGAAGTAAGTCCAAACTTCTCAGTTTCAACCTTGTTATTAATCTAGAACACAGTTTGAGTACTAATGTTTCGATAATGAAAATAAAATCCCCCTACCAGGACGTCTGAAGATTATTTTCATATTATTGTGCAGATCTGAGAGCGAAACCGCCGGTCCTCCCGTCAGGAGCGGCGCGGGCCAATCAGGACCTCCGGTTGCTCGCTCACGGCGGCCCGGGAGGGACGAAGGACGGAGAGGACGAGGAGAGTACGAACACTTCAATTGAAACCAGCCAACCAAACCGAAGACGACGACCCCCCCCCCCCCGGTGAACCCCTCGCCTCTCTGCTCTCTCCCCTCTCCTGTCTCCTGTCTCTCTTCCCTTCCAATCAGACCGGGGTTGATCCGACCCGAGGTGGACAAATTCAGGCACTGTGCCGCTCTCTGCTCTTCTCCCACCTACGGCTGCTACTGTATGACAAATTTGCCCCCCCCCCTTATTTGTATTTTATTTTTATTTTTTGTTCCTCTCTGCGCTGGCCATCAGGGAATCTTGTAAAATAACAATAAACATACAGTACTTGTACACACATGTATTATATATGAAGAGAGTGTAACCGGGGTTAGGGTTGCTTGGCCCTGGAACTGAATGTTTGAACTTCGCTGACGGCCCACAGCTCACCTGGAGAACGGTTTTGAAAAACCAGTGGCCATCAGAGGCCCCCCTCCCCCCCAGTCCTATGTACTATGACCTTTGCCCCGCCCACCACCACCACCCACTCATGAGGCATTCTGGGATTCGTGGACCCCACAGGGAATTTTCTCTCCCGTCCACATGGGACCACGCCACAAAGGAGAGGACATTCATCGACACAGCGGGGTCTCCCCCCTTTTCCCCCTCCGCCTCCTGCACTCGCCCACTTCCTGTTTGTAGATAACATTGCCAAGCACCTCTGTTCATCCAAGGCCTGATAAAGTCACACATGTCCTCTGTTTTTTTTAATTTTTACAACGCGTAAGAACAGAATACTGAGAGCTCGGTCCGTCACACAAAGTGCTTTTGACGCGACCGGAGAGGGAACTCTGCGTTCTCAGACGCGACGTTGGTCCTTTCAGAAGAAGAAGAAGTGGGTTTCGCTGAAGAAAATCAAGCTTTTTCTGGGAACTTCATTTTGGCAAGGACTCGAGGGTTTACCATATGTGACATGAGAAAGACAAATGCTAATAATAATAAAAAACGTAAACCTGCGAGTTTTTATGTTCCTGGAAATGAAAATGCTTTCAGGTGTTTTCCCTGAAGCAATGTGCTTCAGATGTATTTCCAGTTATACGACACTTTAAACCAGCGGTTTCAAAACAGAAGATTGTGGAGCAGCACGACTAATTCAGGAAAAACTTCAATAACAATTTGATTTGAAAAAGAAAACAAATAATCTCCATAGTGAGTCTGCATCACCTGATCAGTACGGTGTGATAGAGAGCGCATGGGAAATAGTTAGCAAGCAACCGAGTCTCAATAGTTCCCTAAAAGTGATGGAAAAATAATTATTTAAAGGGAAACTATGTCCAATTTTCTGAATTTCTGTATGTTCCAATACAATAAAACAGTCCAAACACAAATTTCACTTCAACTCTTCCAAGGCAACAGTGCTGAAACTCAAACGTGTGATGTCATCGAGTATAAAGTGCGGAGCTCCATAAATATAGTATAATATATGATATCCATATTACAGGTGACGCTGAGAGCACCCAGGGGAACATTTTCTGTTTCTCAACTGAGAACGCTACAATAGAATTATGAAAAAAAAAAACATTCAACATCTTTCATCATTCTTCGTCTTTGGAGCAGCGCCACACTTTATACCCGATGACATCACAAGTTCCAGACTTCCCTCTCTGGTTTCTGGCTTTGAGAGCAGCTCATGTTCACAGATTCTGACTGAACTTTCCTCGACCACGTAAACAACGTATTGGAATTCTTAATTTAATCCATCTGCCGCTCCTCAAGTCTGTGATTATTTTTTTTTAAACAATATCTGCTTTTACATAATCAGTTGTTTTTTTTCATCTACTTTAGAAATGAACACATTTGGGGCACCACTGCTTTGGACAAAAGAATGAATTCATAACAAAAACACAGTGGAAGACTTATTCTTTAGTTTTTTATTTCGATTAGATATATTTTCAAATTCCTTTTTGATATCAGCCCCTTTAATGCACCTGGAATCTGCAGAGCTACTCTCATTTAAAGCCTCAACAGCGACATCTGGTGGAGAGATAAGAACATGTCACTTTACTGAAGGAAACTAACTTCAGGGACCTTTAACCACTTTGTTTAAAAAAAAAAGAAGCATTTTGTTGTTGTTGCAGTTATTACTTCTAGTGTGCAACAACAATGTGTCTCTTATCAAATAGATCATTGAAAAGTGCAAATTTAGATGAAACATGAAAATGACTCATTTCTACTTTGACATTCACGACCGTAGCGTAGTCACCATTTTGTGCTGCGGTGTCCTGATATGCACCTACAGTTTATTGTAGGCTGTTTTTATGGTGACTGTTTGTTTTCCCCGGGGGCCCGAGTCAACACGTGCAAAGACGTTTTTTTTTAAGTAAGTCTTGATTAACTGTAAACAACTCCCAACGTGGGTCGACAGCAGCACTTGTATCTGCATGTGAATGGGAGGCAGCGCCGCAAAGCCGATGCGTAAACACTACTTATCGCAACACCATTACGCGCGCTTTTGGTTAACTCTTTTAACTGCTCTGCTGCTGACTGTCGCTGTTAAAAGTCCTCGAGGTAGAAACGCCGCTTCCAGGACATGCCGAGAGAGAGAGAGAGAGAGAGAGAGAGAGAGAGAGAGAGAGAGAGAG